CAAGCTTGAGTAGACCTTAGTCCTACATAACTGGCCCCTTGTCTCCATGCCCAGGGCGTCAAACGGAGCAGCACTTAGGGAATTTGTGGGCACTTCCAAGATGACCCTTGTTAGGGAAAGTGAGCCCTAGAAGCCACCTGAGAGTGCCAAGTTCTGTTAAGGTTCAAGCAAAAATGCCAAGTAAATACTGTTCCCCAGTATGGTGCCTTCCTAATCTGTTCATTTTTAAACTCCCATAATCACCAGTACACATGATATCTGGTCCTTTTCAGTTGGTGGTGATGAGATATGTAATTCATCACATCTGGAGAGCTCTAGTTTAAAAGCTGTTCCAAAGGGTAGAAAGCAATTCCCAAAACTTTTCCATTACTTTCACCTATACATCTCTTCACCACTGAAGTTGTTGTGATGCTACATTGTTAGTCTGAGTGATAATTAAAGTCATACCTAGTAAGTTTTCTACCTGGACAAAGCACAGTTTGAACCAGGAATCTTCCAGAAGCAGAGCATGCCCCGTGCCACTCTCACCCTGAGACATAGGTTAGAGTTAGTGCTACGGATTGGCCCATGTCTACCCATGAGCTTTAGGGGAAGATGGAGATTTCGTCTGCACCCCCTGATTGTGTTCCTCCAACTCACTAATTTAGGTTACTGTCAACTTTAGTTAGGGTTTTGTAACTTAGCGTAGTTGCATAAACACAGTCTATTTGATTAAGTATGGTTCAGTTAACCAGAAAATTCAATAACCAGGTTACGTATGTTATATGAACTCAACCTTAGTCAAATACTCAGCCATCGTGGCATATTTGTCAAATCTCTGCTTCTGACAAAATCACCGAAGGGAAGTAAATTTTCCCCCAATCTCTCTTTTTCCACTGATAGTCACAGAATGACAGACACTACCTGAAGAATTCTAACATCATAGGATCTGATGTGATTTGGTATACCTGGAAATATGAGGATAATTACTCCCTCAAGAAGATCTGCCCTACATTTCCAACCTCTTCTCTCCTCCTGAAGGAACTAGGATTTCCCTTGTCATAAGATGAAGAAAACTAGATTACAGATTCTAGCATCAGATGGCTACAGCTACAGCCTATTGAGATGTGGCCATCACTGTTAGCTATGCTCATCATAGGCATCCATAAGAACCCATGATGATAGTATACCCATGCAATAATGCCATGATATATGCAACATCATTGTGGTTTCTTAGACATCTGCAGTGGTAGTGGCAGCTATGGAGTAGGGTTCTTGTTAGTAACAAGGCTAGTAGCGGCAGCTATGGAGTAGGGTTCTTGCTAGCAAGGCTAGTCTGACCAGCAGAGGTAACTGGAGCTTGGATGATTGGAGGTTGTAGTGGCCTGGAGTCAAGAAGAAGACCATCAATGGCCCACTGGAAATTGAGATTTCTAGGGAATTGTTATATCCAGTGCTATCTGCTGTTAGACTGAAGCTGCTTGACAGGCTGGGGGTTTTGGGGAGGTGGGACAGTCAACCCAAACTTGGAGGAGGGTAGCGCTGCCCACTATGGGAAGAAGGCTGGGCCTTGTTGGGGGGCTGGAAGAAGAATTTGTCCTCACTTAAAAAGATGTTGCAAATGCAGGTCTGGCATGCTTACAGTGCCATCTGCTGCCAGGCAAGAGGAATTGCTTCACAGGGAGAGGAATGGCAGAAAGACAGCGGACCTAGATCAAAAGGGATCAGACCAGGGGGCTGGGAGGTGTGGGGGGGGCTATAGCAGCTGGGGACTCTCAAAGCTATTAGAGATGGCAGTCACACTGAGAGCTCTGGAACTAGGAATTGCTACATGACATGCTCTGACGTGTCCCCTATGCATTAGGAACTCTAACACATGCATGATTAGCTTTCAGTAGTCATTGGTCATTGGTTTGTGTTAATGGTGGTGTACAAAAGTTTTTAACTCAACAGACAGCATCTACCAAGTCACTGGTGTGTAGCTATTCACTGCAACAACTATAGTGTCACCCTGATACAACCCTTCAAGGTGTAATTAGATATCCTGACTGTGAAACTACCGTAAAGCTGGATTCCCAAATCACGACACAGAATTTCAGTTGTTTCCATGTGGCCAAAGAAGAATGTAATTTCCTGAAATAAATTATGCTTTATATAATATTATTCCCAACCCTGGTGCTTTACATATGTGTTACATGAAGACTCCCTTCACCTTCAGGCAGGCGAGGGCCTGATTATTTATCGTTCTCTCCTTTCCTTTGGTTGGGGACCTCTAGATGTGTTGCACTTCTCACCCATTACCTTGTAGGGAAATCAGATGAATTGCAGTAGAGGCAGGACAGTGATCAGCGATGAGGACAGCCAGTGTCACGATGTATAGTTTTCTGTCAGTTTCAAGGTAGGTGGACGGCCCTTCCGTGGGGAAAAGCCCTCAGATTCGAGCTATTCCATGATTTTCTCCCTGTCTGTGTGTCAGTTTCTCTTTACTTAGTATTCTCTGGCACTGGAGTATGCTTAGTGTTCAGGGGACGGGTTCTGGAATTTTAGCCACTTAAAATTAATTTCCTAAATATTGTCCTCTGCTTTTGCAAGTTTCGGGGGTTCTCCTTAGTGTATTCTGATATCTGTTCCCCAGGCATTGGTTAAATGCACACAGTGGGTTCCATGTGCTTCCCAGAAGCTTTTTGATGTGCTCGCCTCCCAAGACTCTGAAAAGGTTTTACCAGATTATAATTTTATATGTGACCAAATGATGAAAGGATCGAAGGACTGAAGAGTAATCACATTAAGCTGATTTCATTTTAATTAATTGAACTGTAAATGAGTTCAAATGCAGACTTTAGCTCAGTAAACATCACACAGTGGAGTATAAATGGTCCATGTTGGCAACATACAACAGCCCAGAAAGGGAGGTGTTGCAAAAAGCTCTACGGCTGTATTTGCACAACCTATTGACTTCACTGAACTGTGATTTAATAAAATAACCCAGTTATATGGATTCACACAACATGCCTGAGCAGGTCAGTTTAAGTATTAGCATTTGCGCAACATAGTAAGTTTGGTTACTGTTGACTGTACATAGATTGTCTGTGTACTGTGGTTACATTAAGAAAGATAAACACGTGACTACACTGAGTCCTTGAGCTACAAATCAGACAATATTTTAGCCAAGTTATGTTGTGCAAACCCAGCCTGTGTCCTTTCTACTTGCAGATTTAGAGAAGACACAATAATTACCTTCAGTAACTTAGCTCCATCTCTTATTTTATTTCTACTTTGGTTCTCTTGTTGAGGACCAAGAAAACTGAGGCCCTATAGGTATAAAATATTAGGATTGTCCACACTTCAAATTTTATCCAGAAATTGTGCTTCAGAATGTGCAGGAGCATAAATTCAGCATCTCACAAACAGAAACATCCCCAGCACTATTCCAGAGGATGGAGTACAATTTTGGGAGAATATGGAGCAGCCCACACACCTGATAACTATACAGTGGTACCTCGGGTCACGAACTTAATTCGTTCCGCGACTCTGGTCGCGACCTGAATTGGTCGT